ACTTTTATATAACACAAATGTTATAGTCTATTTCACCCACTAAATATTACCTGATGACCATCAAAATTGGAAGGCTTCTGCCCAGCCTTAAGCTCTAGCCCATGCTATTTTCCGCGTCGATTGGTCCATAATTGCGACCTGTAGAACAAAGGCAAAATTAGGATTTTTTTCAGTATTTGGTCCATTTTGACCCTAAATATTATGCGATCATCACCAAAAGAAATAGGGTTCTATTCTGACCTTAACCCCACCTCCATACTAAATTTCGTTAAGATCGGGCCATAATTGCGACCTGTAGAGTGATTACAAATTAACATGGACAGACGGACGGACGGACATATATAGCTAGATCGACTCAGCTCGGCGAGATAGGAAGATCCATATATACTTTCCCATGTGGGAAACCAATATTTCGTGGTGTTACATAATTTTTGGCCCAATCAAATTTATAATACCCCCAACACATAGTGTTGTAGGGTATAATGAATAAATTGTTTTCGAAGTCAGGTGACTTCACTAGCCCTGAGTGATTTGACTGGCCCAAGATCAGCAATAGTGACATCTGCCGAAAATTAAAATTTTAAAACTTTTTAGTCCTTACCTTTATTTGTCTCTGGAGTATAGCGTCGGTGGATCCATTTCTCATCAACAGTTATGAAACGACTATTCTCTTAGCAGGATTTCTTTGATTTTCAAGATGTCCTTTCTTGACCTTTCTTCGAGAAATCAATTATAAACCCCCAGCCAATATGTAATATTCAAATTAAATAAATAAAACATCCACAGTATTATCCGTTATTCAGAATGAACTTTTATTTAATTGAAAAGATACATAAAACTTGTTGTTATTATAATTATGATTTTTTTGTTGTTTTTTTTTTTAATTTTTTGTTTCAATTTGTCATAATGGTGAGTTTAGTGAGTGAGTGAGTGAGTGGGAAAAAGTGTTCATGTTTGTCATTTGTTGTATTTTTATGTTGACATTTCGGTGAGTGGTGTTGGTAGGTTTATTTGAGTGTGTGTGAGTGTTTGAGTTGTATAATTGTTGGTAATAGAATAAGTATATAGGTGTTTGTATGTGTATTAGTGTATAAATGTGTTCGTGTGTGTATGTCAGGGAATGTATTCCATTGTATTATTATGAGGTTAAATTTGAATTTGAAATCTACAGAAGAAAAAAATCCATATGTTTATGTGTATATTGTTATTATTTTCTTATTTGTTTTTAATTAATATTTACAATATTTAATATAGTTGTTGTTGTTGTTATTTTTGTTTTTAATCAATTTTGATATCATTCGAGTTATTCGTCAATAAATAAGTTGTTGTTGATTTAAAGGGTTATGCGTTTTTTGTATGCATGTAAGTGTGTCTATGTCTTTCTAGGAAAGGGATGAAGTCGTGTGGAGCAATGCTTAAGTTGTAACAGTAAATAATATATACGGAATGAAAAGTTCTGGGACTTTAATATAATAAATTAAATAAAAATTAAGGCTTAACATTCAAATGCATTGATTAGTTTTTAAATTAGAAATCATTGTTAGTCCCTGAACTCAGTCATACCCCTCATTTAATTAATAACACATTCAAATATATGCATAACAAAATAATTGTTTAACTACAATGTATAACAAAATTCTCTATAAACAAAATTTTTACTAAAAATAATTTAAACTATTTCAATTTTTGTAAAGATTTGAAACCCATTAATTATGAAATTATTTTTGACAATTTTTTTTTATTTTTTTCATGAGGATAGAATTAAACATTGGTGATTAGCCACTTGTTGTTCGAATTTGATACGATTTTTGATTTTAAATGACAATTATTGACTAATTAAAACTGTTCCCTTTTTTTGTAATATAATTTATTAATTTATTATTTTTTTTTTATTTTATAAGTTTCTTCCTTTGCTACCATCATTTTAATAAAATGTTTATTCTGGTTTTCTTATTTTGGGGGTTGTTTATTCGTATTGGCTTTCTTAGTTTAAATTTAAATTCTTTTAATTCATAACTACGTTCATCCTTGGTTTAGGTTTTTTTATTTTTGGGTTTTATTTTTTTTATTTAATTAGTTATGTTTATTTCGTTTTTTATTGGTTGGCATGGCTGAGTTGTGTTAAATGATTTTATGTTTTATGAAAAAAAGGCTAATTTGATTTCATTTTTTTTAGTTCAATTATTTTGATTAAGATTCTCTTTGTGTCTATGTAGAGAAGTTTTCATAAAAGTTTGGCACAGTTTTTATGTCGAGTGTTTTGCTTGTGTAATTAAGTGAAGTTCATGTTTAAATAAATTGGTTAAGCGTTTCACAACAAAGTTAAATTAAAAAAAAATTCTGTAAATATCGAGCGCTATAAACAATTTCTTTCCGGGAACCCATAGGCGGAAATTCTAAAGAGCTATCAAAAAGGTCATTATTGGGTGGCCCATCTTTACATCTAAAACAGTCTAGTAACATAATACGAGCATATAATACGACCAAAGATGGTGCCCATACCTTAGCACTAATTTATATAATTTCCTAGCCGTTCATGTTCGGATGTAATTCAAATCCAACAAGTAAACCAGTAAAGAAAGTCTTAAAGTCGGGCGGGCCGACTTTATGATACCCTACACCACTTAGCTCATTTAAATGAGCTGCGCATAACAATTAAAAGTTTTTATGGGAGAATTCAATCATACACGCTATGATTATAATTATAATTTAAAGTTCAAAGAACTAAATATGCCGAAGCATTTGTATCTTTTTAATTCGGACTTGTATTGCCCATTTGGTGCACGGTACAATGAAGAGAAGGTAGGTCAACTTTGAAAAAATTGCAAGTATAGAGGTCTACCTGTTTGGCTTGTAATGTCAGAATTAGTATCAAAACAATAAAAAATCAAAAAACTTGTTGCATTTATTTTGAATAAATAATTGAAAAACGCGATAACTGAATGAAAGGTTAGAACTTCTTTTCAAAATCATGTACTATATATCTCTAAAGGATTATTTCGCTACAAAAACTCTAGATTTTGTCAATGTATACGTTGAAATAAACATTTTGAAAACACCCGAAATTGAATATTTTCTGAACAATTTTTTTGTTATTGAAAAGAAAACACATGCATAAACAAATAAAGATGACATATTAAGCCAAGAAAATAAAAAAATTGAAATCATATGGTAGTTCTGCCCTACCTTGAATTCATTGTACCATGATTTGGTGCACAATTAATTTTAAATCGGATAAAAATATATATGGGAGCTATATCCAAATCGGAACCGATCTCGATTAAATTTGGCAAAGATATTTCTCAGAGGTATTTGATATATTTCCCTGAATATCGTTGTTACGGAGTGCATATTACGGCTGTGTGTAACAAATATGACAAATCGGATGAACAGTATATATCGGAGCTATAGCTATATCTGAACCGATCTTCACCAAATTTGACATACTAACTTCTAGACTCAATTCGGTCGTGAGTGCCAAATTTCATCCAATTTGGACAAATATTAAACGTTTGGTGCACGATCCAAGGTAAATCGGACGAAGTTATATATGGGAGCTATATCCTAATCTGAACCGATCTCGATAAAATTTAGCAAATGTATTTCTGAACTGTATTTGATATATTTCCCCAAATATTGTTGTTACAGAGTGCATATTACGGCTGCGGAGGACAAAAATAACAAATCGGATGAACAATATATATGGGAGCTATAGCTATATCTGAACCGATTTCGATCAAATTTGGCATACTTATTTTCGGGTCCAATATGATCGCACATGCAAAATTCCATACTATTCGGACTGATATTACACGTTTGGTGCAAAATAAAAGGCAAATCGGACGAAGATATATATGAGAGCTATATATAAATTTTGACCGATTACCTCCAATTTCAATAGGGTTCGTCCTTGGGCCAAACAAATGATTTGTGCAAAATTTCATCTGGATAGGTCAATAAATGCGAACTGTACTTTGTTTACAAAAATACATGGAGAGACGGACGGACGGACATGCATAAATCGACTCAGAATGTGATTCTGTGCTGATCATCAAAAGGAACTATGGGTCTATCTCGTTTCCTTTTGCCTGTTACAAACAAATGCACAAAAACATAATGTAGGGTATAAAAAGCAGTTAAGTTCGGCCATTTTTATACCCTCCACCATACTATGGAGGGTATATTAACTTTGTCATTCCGTTTGTAACTCCTCGAAATACTCATGTCAGACCCAACAAAGTAGGTCCACGTTTTCATATAGCTCCCATATAACGGTAACCCCCCTATATTCGGTATTTTGATGATTTTAGCGACGTTATTCACCGGAATTGTTTCAAATCTGGTATTTGAAGTTCCAAATGGATACTACACCCTAAGACAGAAAATTGTCTTTGCAGGTCCACGTCTTCGTATAGCCCCAATATAACGGTACCTCCCTATATATTCGGTATTTTTATGATTTTAGCGACGTTTATCAAATCTGGTATTTGAAGTTCCAAATGGATACTACACCCTAAGACTGAAAATTGTCTGTGCAGGTCCACGTCTTCCTATAGCCCCCATATAACGGCACCTCGCTATGTTCGGTATTTTGATGATTGTAGCGACATTATTAACCGGAATTGTTTAAAATTTGGTATTTGAAGTTCATTATAGGAACTACAGTCTGTGACAGAAAATTGTCGGTGCGGGTCCAGTTTCGAATTTGAATATGGTAATGGCTTATGACAAACAATGCATATGTATGTCCACGTCGTTTAGACCCCAATATAACGGCTATATTCGGTATTTTTAAAATTTTAAAAGAATTTTTTAAGGATTTTATTTTTTGAAAATTTCCAAATTCGTTGCAAATGGTGGAGGGTATTAAAAGTTCGGCCCGGCCGAACTTTATGCTTTTTAACTTGTTAAACTTTTAGACAGGTTAGCAAAATGAAACATAATTATTCCTCCTGATTTTCTTAGTTTTTTTTCTAGAATTTCTTGAACCTGGAATCCTGGAAACTTGAAATATAGCTTTTTAATACCTTTCACCATACATAGCATGGAGGGTAAATTAAGTTTGTCATTTTATTTGTAACTCATCGAAATAATCATTTGCGACTCAACAAAGTATATATTCTTGATCAGCATAAGATTCTATGTCGATATAGCAATGTTTTTCCGTCGGTCTGTCTGTCCGCCCGTCCGTCTGTTGTTATCACGTTAGAGTCCTAACGGCATGCGGTAGGAAAATAACATTTTGCATAGAGTGGTATTTTGTCTGCAGTCGGATCAAGTTCGAAGAATAGCCATATTTTACAGGAAAGGTAAGTCGTCTCTCAAACTCTGTTAGATCCCTGGACACTGCAACATATCTGGCAATGAATCGGCTATAGAATTGACCAGACGCTGATCTGGGTCAGTAGATCTAGAAATTGAGAGCTCAGTGAAGCCACCTATCTGCCACTTCTTCCAAATACTGCATAAACTTTATCTTAGAAATTTTCAACCGAACTGGCTAATTGGGAGGGAATGTAAAGTCTCCAAAGGAGATCAAGGTCACTCATATTCTGATCCCTGATCACTTCCCCGACAAAGTCGGACATGACGCTTGTGGTGGGCCTAATTACAGGACACTACAACATAATTGCCATGACTTCTAAGGGTGGGCGGGGGACGATGCTGAATACTGCAGGCTTTGTCAAGACGAGGAGGAAATTGAGGCGGTGGAGCACTTACTCTGCCACTGCACAACTCTTATCGGAGTGGGTAAGCAAATTCTGACCGACTTGTGCTCCCGACCGAGCCAGTAGTCATTCTTCAATAAGCCAGAAGACTAAAATGGCTGAATACACAGTGGATACAAACCTACTAACTTCTCTAGTCCTATCTTCAAATTCACGCTTCTTCACTATTCGTTAACTTCCCTTTTATTATTCTAAGCTTCCATCTTCTCTAAATTAGGACGAACACAATAGACCAATAGGTCACCGAGTCGAGTGGTTGTTTACACAACCATGAATCCTTTTAACCTTACCTAACCTTGGTCAACGTTTATCTATAGCTCCCATATAGTTGTACTTCCCCATATCCGGCATTTTGACGATTTTTCCCACACTTTCTAAAGTGATAGTTTAAAATTCGGTATTTAGAGTTTATATTGGGATCTACCTCCCGTGGCAGAACTTTGTCTTTATGGATTCACTTTTTCGTGAAGCCTCCATGTAACAGTACCTCCCGTTGTTCGTAATTTTGACAATTTAAGTCACATTTGCAAGCGAAATAGTTTAAGTTTTGATATTTAGAGTTAAAATTTTGATCTATCTATCGACAAAATATTGTCCATATACGTCCATGTTTTCCTATAGTCCCCATATATTTGTATCTTCCCATATTCGGTATTTTGATGATTTTAGGATCAGTTTTCAGAGGAATAACGAAAATTCGATATTTTTAGTTCATATTAGATTCTACATCCAGAAAACTGTCATTATAGATCCACTTTGTCCTATAGCCCTCATATAAAGAGCCTTCCCGATATTCAGTATTTTACGATTTAAATCACACTTTCTAACGGAATTGCTTAAAATTCAGTATTGATATTCCATAAAGGGTTCATCTGTTTATATTGCACAGTTTCTATAAAAGTCAACTCCTATCCTCCCGATATTCGGTATTTTGATGATCGTAGCCAATTTTTTCACGGAATTGTTTGAAATTTGAAAAATGAAATTTTGTGTAGACCTACCTGCCTATAATTAGTTATGTATTTTAATTAAAATTTGACTTCTTCCGGTACATTTTGACAGAATATTGTATTCCTCCCTTCAATATTTATAGCATCAAAATCAAAAAATTACGTTTAAGAGTATGTCAGTTATCTTTTCGGCCAAAACGAGCTGTCATGATATGGAATGGAAATCGACCTAATTTATGGAATCTTTCTGCACAGTAAAACCATTATAATATACCAAACCAGTAAAGAAAGTCTTAATGTCGGGCGGGGCCGACTTTATGATACCCTACACCACTTTGCTAATTTAGTAGAGCTCCACATAACAATTAAAAGTTTTTATGCGAGAATTCAATCATACACGCTATGATTATAATTATAGTTTAAAGTTCAAAGGACTAAATATGCCGAAGCATTTGTATCTTTTAAATTCGGACTTGTATTGCCCATTTGGCGCACAATTAATTTGAAATCGGATAAAAATATATATGTGGGCTATATCCAAATCGGAACCGATCTCGATAAAATTTGGCAAAGATATTTCTGAGCTGTATTTGGTATATTTCTCTGAATATCGTTGTTACGGAGTGCATATTACGGCTGTGGGTAACAAATATGACAAATCGGATGAACAGTATATATGGGAGCTATAGCTATATCTGAACCGATCTTCACCAAATTTGACATACTAGCTTCTAGACTCAATTCGGTCGTAAGTGCCAAATTTCATCCAATTTGGGCAAATATTAGACGTTTGGTGCACAATAAAAGGTAAATCGGACGAAGTTATAAATGGGAGCTATATCCAAATCTGAACCGATCTCGATAAAATTTAGCAAACGTATTTCTGAGCTGCATTTGATATATTTCCCCAAATATTGTTGTTACAGAGTGCATATTACGGCTGCGGAGGACTAAAATAACAAATCGGATGAACAATATATATGGTAGCTATGGCCATATCTGAACCGATTTCGATGAAATTTGGCATTCTTATTTTCAGGCCTAATTTGATTGTATGTGCAAAATTCCATACTATTCGGGATGATATTACACGTTTGGTGCACAATAAAAGGCAAATCGGACGAAGATATATATGGGAGATATATCTAAATTTTGACCGATTGTTTCCAATTTCAATAGGGTTCGTCCTTGGGCCAAACAAATGATTTGTGCAAATTTTCATCTGGATAGGGCAATAAATGCGAACTGTACTTTGTTTACAAAAATACATGGACAGACGGACAGACGGACGGAGGGACGGACATGCATAAATCGACTCAGAATGTTATTCTATGCAGATCATCAAAAGGTACTATGGGTCTATCTCGTTGCCTTTTGCTTGTTACAAAGAAATGCACAAAGACATAATACCCTTACCACTATGTGGTGTAGGGTATAAAAAAAATCCGTTAAAAATTCTGTTATAATCTTAACTGCTTCATTCGGTAAGCAGTTGTATTAGGGTATGGACATGCATAGGCCACTTTTGTCATAAGCCATTACAATATTCAAATGCGAAAATTGAAAAAAAATCGGTGAATAATGTCGCTAAAAACATCAAAATACCGAATATAGGGAGGTACCGTTATATTGGTGCTATACGAAGACGTGGACCTGCACAGACAATTTTCTGTCGTAAGCTGTAGTATTCATAACAAACTTCAAATGCCAAATTTGAGACAATTACGTTGAATAAAAATTCTGTTATAATCTTAACTGCTTCATTCGGTAAGCAGTTGTATTAGGGTATGGACATGCATAGGCCACTTTTGTCATAAGCCATTACAATATTCAAATGCGAAAATTGAAAAAAAATCGGTGAATAATGTCGCTAAAATCATCAAAATACCGAATATCGGGAGGTACCATTATATGGTAGCTATACGAAGATGTGGACCTGCACGAACAATTTTCTTTCTTAGGCTGAAGTATCCATTACGAAATTCAAACACCAAATTGGAAACAATTCGGGTAAATAAGGTCGCTGAAATCACCAAAATGCCGGAAAAAGGAAGGTACAATTATAAGGGGAATATACGAAGACGTTAACCTGCACAGACAATTTTCTGTCTTAGGCTGCAGTATTCATTTCAAACATCAAATACCAAATTTGAAAGAATTCTGATGAATAATGTCGCTAAAATCATCAAAATACCGAATAACGGGAGGTACCAGTATATGGGGGCTATACCAAAACGTGGACCTTCATGACCCATTTTAAATACCACAAGTCCTGCATACACAATACATATTGGAGTAAAATTCTATCAACCTACTTCATTTCGTTCGGAAGCTAGAGTGATTTCCATAGACGTATAGAAGGGCAGACGGAAGGATATCGCTAAATCGACATAGAATTTTATGCTGATCGAGAATATATATAGTTTGTGGGTTCTAAAATGAATATTTCGAGGTGTTACAAACGGAATGACAAACTTAATATACCCTCCATACTTTGGTGGAGGGTATATAAAAACCATCGCCAAAAATCTTTAAATTGAGTCCAAGTTTTGATACAGACCCATGCAACGATATTCTCCCTTTATTGATGTTCAAAGGCCTTATCAATATTTCTCAAAAGACCTATCTGCCTATATCATTAGTTATGTATTTTAATTAAAATTTGACTTCTTCCGGTACATTTTGACAGAATATTGTATTCCTCCCTTTAATATTTGTAGCACTGATTAAAAGCAATGCATGTCGGTTATCTTTTCGTTCAAAGCGAGCTATCATGATATGGAATGGAATCTTTCTGCACAGAATTGACAGCTAGGTGTAGAATACATTGCAAAGAGACTCAGAATTTTAAAGGATCTGGCATACTGCTTGTATAATGCTGAACCCAAATTTTAGGGTTCGCGTGGCCAACCTATTTGGATTTTGGTTGCGTTTTCCCATGGTGACACAAATGCCGATCTTTTTAAACTTATTCATAGTAAAACTATTCGATACAACAAACAAGGTTAATAAAACTTATTTTGATGATGTCATATTGAAACGTAACAATCGATCACTCTAATGCCATGAAAATAATCTTGTGTGGCGAACAAGAACACAATTTTTCGTGTATTTATTAGAGTTCGAATCGTAAATGAGAGTGAGATGGATTGTGATCGGTTATTGTTTACAGCTTTGATTAAGTTCCTCTTTTTTAATAATTTTATTTTTGTGTTTTTTTTTTAATCCTTGTATTGCCTGTTTTGTGAAATCGTAAGTTCTGGAGGGGTCTTGTTATTATTTTCTTCATCATCATCATTATTATTATTATTACTTTTACTTTTTCTGGATTTTCATTTAATCTTCTCTTTTCAACATCATTTAAGGGGGAGGATCATGCATTTTATTGGGGAGAGAGAGAGGGAAATCAATTTGCTTAGTTTGTGTATTTTGAACGGGATCGTGGGGGGAGGGGTTGGAGAATGGGAATAAGGGGGCTTTATGTTCATCTGTATACATAAGTAAATGCCATCTTATTTGTATTTATTGTTGTTGTTTCTGTATTTGGGTACATCTCAAAATATTTGCACTGACTGACACTAACGTTTTTTGTTTTTTTTTTTTTGTTTTTTGCTTCTTTTTTATTTGTTGCTACAACTCGCGCTCTCTCTATCTATTCTCATATTCATTTTGTTTCCTTTTTTCTCAGAGCAAGCAATTTTACATAGCTGCAGTAACAATGCCATTGGTTTCATGATTCACATTGTTCACATTGCTGCTCGTTGTCGGTATGGGACCCATGCCCGCCATCATCGATGCAGCCCCGGCTACGGTGGATGGCACTATGACGGGTGTGGGAACGGCTTCGCGGTCAGCAATGGCCTGGGCTGTATTGGCGGCGGTTTTTATTGTATCAGCATCGTTCGACTTGAGGAAATACGTTATCAGATCAATGGGCAATGGGAATACGATGGTTGAGTTCTTCTCGGCTGAAATGGCACTCAATGTCTGTCCATTGAAATTGTAACGACAAAGGGAAGCAAAGAAAACGCAGAAGGAGAAAGAGAGAAAAGATACAAAAGAAAGACATTTCATCATTTATCTAAATAACAAATGATTTTATTTCATTCGAAATTTACCTGTAAATAACGTAGCTGTAATGCTGCCGGTGAATCGCCAATAACTTCGGAGGCTTCTCTTAATGCTCTCGAGGCTTTCTGTTCACCCTCGGCGGCTATGACTTTGGCACGTGCCTCTCGTGCTGCCTCTGCCTCGGCAGCCATGGCTCTTTGTAATTGGACGGGTAGACGTACATCTTTGCTGTTGATGGAGAGAAATAGGAAGACAAGACAAGACATGGTTAATGTTCTTCAAATGGCTGGAGATGTTCGAGGAAAATAAATGTGAAATTTTCTTTCCCAACTAAGGTGCTGTTAAATATGTCCTTAAGGATATTAAATGTGAAATATTTTAAGGTACATGAAAAATACTTAAAATGATAAATGTGCGTGTTGAAGAAAACATAGAAGAGGTGAAAATAAAAAGGGTTCTGCTATGAATTTTAATTGCGTTTACAATTTATATAATTGACTACAATTTAAGAAAAAGTACTGAATGTACCATACTCATAATATTCAGTTTAGAGCTAGAATTTTAAAAATATGATATAGGCAAGTAAGATAAGGGAGACTTTTTTGATGTTTGCACCAAAATTACAAATCAGCGAACGAGAAGAGCAAGAAAGAGCAGTTTTGAGTAAGAATTTGATGAGTTTTAAAACAATTCTAGTTTTTAACTTTTTCGATAAAAATTTTATGAGAATTTCCGAAAAATTTTAATCAATCTAAGTTGATATAGCTCAAAGCACATATACGTAAAATTACATAGGACCATTAAATATATAAAGTTAAATATTCGCTTTTTAATCATTTACATCTTAGTGGGGGCTATTCCTCATTATGACAGAAATTGTATCAACGACCGATTTTAAGTAATGTACATTGAGCATTTTAGAACCCACAAAGTATATATATTTCGACCTCCATTAGAGTCTATGTCACATACGTAATATGCACTACAGAAGAATGGTATTTGGTACCAGACATCACATACTGCCCGAAAATACCTCTGTGAAATTTTATCGAGATCGGTTTAGATTAGGATATAGCTGCCATATAAATCTTTATCCCATATCAGGCTTATTGTGCATCAAATATATATACCAAATATCACCCCAAATGGACTGAATATTGGCAATTACGAATGAATTTATACTATAAAGCAGTACTTCAAATTTGCTGTAAATCGGTTCAGATATAGATATTGCTACCATATATACGTTTTATCTGATTTGGAGTTAAAAGTCCCTCACAAGCGTAATATGCATTTGACCACAATGATATTTGGTACCAGATATATTATAGTGCTCGGAAAGACCTTTGCCAAATTTTATGAAGATCGGTTCAGATTTGGTTATAGCTCTCCTATATATATTTAACAGTTTTCTGGTTAATTGTGCAGCAAATGGCCAATATTTGTCAAAAATTCCTGAATTTCGGTACATCCGACCGAATTCAGTCTAGAAGCAAGTACATCAAATTTGGAGAAAATATGTTTCATCCGATTTGGTGATTATGTCCCTCACATTCGTAATATGCATTCGACAACAATGATATTTGGTACTAGATATCTTATAAACCTCGGAAATACCTTTGCCAAATTTTACCGTGAACGGCTAAGATTTGCATATAGCTTCAATATATATGCTTAATACGATTTCAGGTTTATTGTGCAAATAATGGCTAATATCAGCTAGAACGGAGTGAATTTCGGACACGTACGTTTCCATTTTGCGAAACTCGGCTCCGATATATATTTTTATACCCTCCACCATACTATAATACTCATGTCAGACCCAACAAAGTATATATATTCTTAATCAGCGTAAAATTCTAAGTCGATTTAGCGATGTCCGTCTGTCTGTCTGTTGTAATCACGCTATCTTTCGAATGAATTGAGATAAATGGCTATAATTTTGCATAGATGTTTATTTTTCCATTAAGTTCGTAAATGGTAAATGTACCTCCTGATATTCGGTGTTTTGATGATTTTAACGACATTATTCACCGGAATTGTTTCAAATTTGGTATTTGAAGTTCGAAATGGATACTACACCCTAAGACGGAAAATTGTTTGTGCAGGTCCACGTCTTCGTATAGCCCCCATATAACGGTAGCTCCCAATATTCGGTATTTTGATGATTTTAGATACAATTCCCACGGAAATTGCTTGAGATGTGGTATTTGAAGTTCGTAATGGATGCTAAAGCCTGTGACAAAAAATTGTCTATGCAGGTCTAAGTCTTCGCACAAGTTACGTAATTGTTCAATTATGCCCTTCACTGTATATATTGTTTTACTTTTTCTTTATTTTCATTCTTTATAAATTATTCTTTACTCCTTTCCTTTTAAATTGAATTCTGATCTCTCTCATCCATAACCCTTAGTTTTAAGAAATTATGTTATAAGTATTGTTGTAAATCATAGAGTCATTTCAGTCGTATGTAAGAAGTTAAAGCGAAGTGTCGCAAATATTAAATAATAAAATTAATTGAACTAAAGTGTGTTTCTTCTATTTACTTAACTGGCGCAGTCTACATAACGAATCTACCTTAATAAAATCACAAAAAAAATATTAATAAACTAAAGTTTATTATAACATGAGATAAAAAAAAGAAAATTGCAACAATCAAGTTAAATACGAATATGTGACTTGAAAAAAAAATAAAAACAGAATATTCTAATTTAAAATTTGTTGAATTCACTAATTGTCAAAAAATGTGTTGTGAAAAAAAAACATCAGTAACAAAAAATAATCAATTGAACGTTCAAGGTCATTCAAGGGCAGAAATTGCAGTTGCTTCAGACAACTAAAATATGAAAAAGACAAGATATTGCCACCAAGTGAAGTAAAAAAAAGACAACAGTGAAGTAAATCAAAAAAGTAACCAAATAAAGCAACAAATTCACTGAGTAAAAGGGCTACGTGACTTTGATCACATAAACAAAGAAGAAAAAAATAAAAATAAATAAATAAATTGAGAGCCAATAAAAAATATAATTTTACTCTCAGAGAAAATTTAAGTGAATCAAAATGGCCCAATTATCACTCTCAATGAATGACATTCTAAAAGACGCTCAGCGAATTCATGAATACAGGGGAGACGAGACTTATGCTCTCACTTCCTTTTTAAGAGAGGTGGATACAATATTTTCTCTTATTCAGCAAAATGCCGAAGCGAAAGAGTACATCTACCAAAGAGTTGTATTAAATAAAATTCAGGGAGAGGCTCTTCATGTTTTACGGACCTTGGGCCCAAATCCGAGTTGGGATGAGACAAAAGAGGCATTAATCAGCAACTTCGGAATCCACGAATCGTATCACCAATTATATCAACATGCATTTGAAGCAAAAAACGTTTGTATCATTAACTATTATAAGCAACTAAGAGAAATACTATGTAAATTAAACGAAAAATATGAATACGACAAAGAGAAACCTGTAGAATTTAGTCCCTTATATGTAGAGAAAATAATTCTAAAAACATTTTTAAATAATATTGATTTAAATCTTGCATCTGTAGTAATTAACAGAAATATTGATAAATTAAGAGATGCATTTAATTTGTTGGAACGCGAAGGTTTGATTAGATTAGAAAAAGAGAAAAAAAATGTTGATCAGCCAAAAAGGGACAATAATTACGATTATAATTCTTTCAAAAGAAATAGTAATAGGTTATATGTTAATAGTAATCATAACAATGGAAATAATAGAAATATAAATGTTAATTCAAGCCAAACAAGATCATTTAATAGTAACCAATATTCAAGAAACTATCAACGCAACGGCTCTAATGTTCATCGATCTTTTGGAAATGTAAATAACAGTTCAATACCTAATGTAAATAGTGAAATGGAAGTAGACCATATTCAGTTCAGCCAAAATGTTAATTCAAACGGGGAAGAACAAGTAAATTTTCTTACAACTGCCTCAAAAAGGCACTTCCAATGATTTATCTTACTATTGGAGAAAACAAAATTAAAGCACTTATTGACACCGGCTCAACTACTTCCATTATGAACGAAACCAAACTTCCAAAATTTAAAAGAATTCCACTTTCTAAGAAAATATCCTTTACGTCATTAAATGGTAGTATGGAAATTACACACGAAATTATTACAGACCTACCCATAGAATTTAGTGAAAAGGCAACAATGTCTTGGAAGCTAACAAAATTTTTTAATAAGGATTTTGATGCAATTTTAGGTCAGAACATATTGAAGCCTCTTGGAGCTATAATTGACATGGAAAGAGATACATTGACAATTAATAATATTACGCTAGATTTTATTAGAATTTGTCCATATGAAGCTGATGAGATTCACCAAATCGAGACATTAGATTTTGAAACCACAATTTTAGATCATTTATTCAAAAATTTGAATCATGAAGAATCTTTAGCTTTAGAAGACATTTTATGTTCATTTAACGATTTAGTGTATCGAGAGGGCGATAGGCTGGGAAATACACCTATTGTCGAACATGAGATTAAAACCATTTCCGATAAACCTGTATATACCAAAATTTACAGATACCCATACATATACGAGCAAGAAATTTGTAATCAGATAAAAGAAATGCTTGAAGGTGGTATAATAACTGAGAGCAATTCTCCTTATAACAGTCCTCTTTGGATTGTTCCGAAGAAAATAGATCACTCAGGAAAACAAAGATTCAGGATTGTCATTGATTATAGGAGACTCAATGATTTAACGGTTGATGACAAATTCCCAATCCCCAACATTGATACAATACTGGATAAACTTGGTCGTTCGCAATATTTTACTACAATAGATTTGGCGAAGGGGTTTCACCAGATTATGGTAAAAGAGTGTGATAGACCTAAAACGGCTTTTTCAACACCCTACGGACACTACGAATTCGTCCGAATGCCATTTGGGTTGAAAAATGCCCCTGCCACGTTTCAACGGCTGATTAACCAAGTTCTTCGTGAGTTTATTAATAAGATATGTGTCGTATATCTCGACGATATACTTATATTTTCGTCCAGTCTTCAAGAGCATATGACAAGTATTAGAAAGATTTTTAGTGCTTTGAGAAAAGTAAATCTAAAAATTCAGATCAATAAATGCTCGTTTTTTGCAAAGCAAACTTTATACTTAGGCCACTTGCTGACAACACAAGGAGTTAAACCTAATCCAGAAAAAATCGATACAATTCTAAACTTAAAATTACCTCAT